CTCCCCCTGCTTGTGTTCCCTCTCTGGCTGTGTCTCTCTCTGTCAAATAAATAAAAAGAAATTCTCTAAAAAAAAATAAAAAATAAAAACTGTATTTATCTATTAGAGAGAGTGAGTGTACGAGCAGGGGGAGAGGCGAAGGGAGAGGGAGAAGACGACTCCCTGCTGAGCGTGGAGCCCAACTGTGGGGCATATCCCAGGACCCCGAGATCATGACCTGAGCCAATTGAGCCACCCAGGTGTCCCTGTTACAAACCTTTTTAATGAAAATACTATGGGGGCGCCTGGGCGGCTCAGTCGGTTAAGCGGCTGCCTTTGGCTCAGGTCATGATCCTGGGGTGCTGGAATCGAGCCCCATGTCCAGCTCCCTGCTCAGTGGAGAGCCTGCTTCTCCCTCTCCCTCTGCCTGCCACTCCGCCTACCTGTGCTCTCTCTCTCTCTGTCAAATAAACAAATAAAATCTTTTAAAAAAAAAAGGAAAGAAAAAATACTATGGCTATTTGAGTCAATTATTTTTAAAGATTTTATTGAGGGGCACCTGGGTGGCTCAGTCATTGGGCGTCTGCCTTCGGCTCAGGTCATGATCCCAGGGTCCTGGGATCGAGCCTGCTTCTCCCTCTCCCTCTCCCCCTGCTTGTTCCCTCTCTCGTTGTCTCTCTGTCAAATAAATAAAATCTTTTAAAAAAATAAAGATTTTATTTATTTATTTGAGAGAGAGAGCATGAGTGGGGTGAGGGGCAGAGGGAGAAGCAGATTGCCCACTAAGCAGGGAGTCCAATGATGCAGGGCTCGAATAAGTATATTAAGAGTGTATCACACAACGAAATACCAGAGAGCAATGAGAACTGAACAAATTACAACTACATACCATGATACAGATGCATCTCACAAACATGTTGACTGAAAAAAGCCCAACAAGATGCCGGGACACACTGCATGATTCTGTTGTACAGTTTTAAGAGGCAAATCAAGTTTTTATTGTTACAAGTTGGACAGTGTTTACTTTTGGCATAGGAGGGTGGGTAGGGATTAGGAGGGGAAGACTACTTAGAGTGCTGGTAATGTTCTGTATCCCAATTTGGGTGATGTGACATGAGGGTGTGTTCAGTGTGAAAATTCAATGAGGTGGACACCTGTTTGTCGTTCTTCTCTATGTATATTTGAAGAAAAAAGTACACAAATAAGTAATATAGTAGTTTGGCCTGTGGAATCAACCTGTTTGTTGTACTGAAGCGCATTATGTAGTTCATCATTTGAAAAGTGAGCTCGTACCATGATCATTCCTATTGGCTGTAGTGCAAAGTTTGGGAATTGGACTTAGAGGATTCCGTACCACCTGGAAAATGTTACTACAATTTCCCTGAGAAAAGATACAAAATGGAGATCGTAATTATTTGCTCAGACACTTGTTGAGCAGACAAAATCACCGTCCTCACAGAACTCAGGATAGACAACGTGACAACATGCAAAACTAAAATGAAATGGAACCAGCAAAACCCCAAATGGCAAAGAATTAAAAACTGTCCTTTGATGTGAGAATATGCGACAAAATCATGTATCCCATGAAGGCCACACAGGATAGCTATCCTTGCAGTTAATTTAAGAGTTTAAGATGCTTAAATTGTACCTTACGATTACTTTAGCAAAACCGGCATCAGAAAACAAACGCCGTTAACACCGAGAACCCCGACAGTAATGGCGTGGTAATACTGAGGTACCGTGGGACATGTAGTTTCCAACGCCGCTGGGCTTTCTCTCCCACCTCCACCCCAACCCTGGCCAATAAAACAGGACTACCTGGGCAGCGGGCCTAATCTGAAAGGCCAGGACCTGCGGGGTGGCGCGGTGGCTACCACAACAGACGACGACCTCCACGTTTTTCTTCCATTCGCCTGCGAGGCGGACGCGCAGTGATTACGTCACCGTCCCACGCCGCCGCCGTTGTTTCCCTGGCGACCGGTGCGCGCTCAACGCCGAGGCGAGGGAGATGCTGGCTAGGCGGCAGCGAAATCCTCTGCAGGCCCTGCAGCGCCGCAGTCAGGAATTGAAGCTACAGGTATCGTCTGGCTGTCCAGCCGGGGGCCTGGGCACCACGAGGTGGCTTGGGCTGTGGCGGCGGGCGAGATCTGGGGTGCACCCTAATCCTGGCAGCCTACGCCGACCCACTTCCTTCCCGAGTTATAGCGCTCCCTCCTCCACCCCAGCATCCCGGCACTAACCCCGATTCTAACCCCTCCTGCTCCTAAACACAACCCCCGGGAAGCTGAACCTCCCGAAAATCGTGACCCATCGACCCGTCCTCCCCCTCCCCTTAACATCTCAGTCTCCAACCTGACAACACCCATAACCCACCTCACCTCCAAATTTAATCTTAACAATAACCTTTTCCAACCATCTCCGCGCCCATCGCTTTCCTCCACTCTCCATTGCCCCCTTACCTTTGAGCCATCTTTCAGTGAAGGCTGTTTTTGCTTCACATGAACTCAAACCAAATATGTGTCAAAGAATAGTCCTAATAGGTAAGAAAAATATTAGGATACGACAGATTAGCAAAGGACATGAACTAAAGAAGTGCAAGGAACTCATAAACATGAGAAAAGTCAACTTAAAAAATAATCAAGTAACTGCAAAGGAAATAAACTATCACAAACATTTAAAAAATCTCAATGGTCAGTACTGGGGAGGGTGTGATGAAACATGAACTTATATACGCTGCTCCAGAGTATAAGGTACAGCATTTCTGGAAAGCAGTTTGACAAGATGTAGTAAATATTTACGCTCCTAGGCTGGGTAATTACATTTCCAGGGATTTTCCATACATAATAATAAAACATTTATTGGGACAGAGATTAATGTATAAAAGTGTTCATCGCAATATTACTTATAATAGAAAAGACTGGATATCACTTAAATGATCAGTAATAGGGGAATGGATAAATAACTTAGGATGGGATATAATAGTATGATTAAAATTTGTTAAAATATTTTAGTGTGTTAGGGAAAATATTTGTGATAAAATATCAAGTTAGAAAAAATAAGATATAAAATTGAACATACAGTATTTCAATAAAATTATTTTATATCTAATATACATAGAAAAAAGATTGAAGGAAACATCCCAGGATAGTAACTGTGTGTGCTAGAATGCTGATGTTTATTATGTTTTTCTTCATACTTTTTGGTATTTTCATAATTTTGAACACCAAATATATATGACTTTAAAAAATACGAAGAAAAAATAAGTAGTAATTAATGGTTTGTTAATTTTTTTCCAAAATTCTTATTTTGCTTTGCTAATTTTACTTTTTTTATTTGATCTATTAATAAATAAAATTATTGTCTAATCTTTGATAGACAAGAGATTTACTGAGTGCTCATATTTGGTCCTGTTTTGGACTCTCATTTAAAAAGTACAAAGATTTGGGGCTCCTGAATGGCTCAGTGGTCCTGGGATCGAGCCCCGCATCCTGCTCCCTGCTCAGTGGGGAGCCTGCTTCTTCTTCTCCCTCTCCCTCTGTCTCCTGGCTTGTGCTCTCACTATCTCAAATAAATAAATAAAATCTTTAAAAAA